ATTGGATTAACCTCAGAAGAATCTTCTGGTAGCTGAAATGCAACAGTTGGAAGAAATTTGCAGCCCTGTACTGGGAAGTTTCAGTAGAAATGGAACCAACTGTTATGACTACTGGAACTGAAAACAGCTTTTAATTGTTTTGTTGCTAAGCCCCCTTAAAGTGGTTAGTGGGATAATTCAGCACATATTGTTATAAGAGAAGGGTAAATAGATTTACTCTCTGTAATCAAGAGAAATTTAAAGATTAAGTAGCAATTTAAAACATTGTTGAAAGTAATTGCAACTAGTAGTGATTTAGATGTTCCAAGGTTTCCTTTCTATAAATCTGTTGCCATTCTGATCATTACTAGCCTCATGCCTTTTATCTATATGGCTATGCAGGCTCCAGCAAACATCCAAGAAAACTAAATGGGCTAATCTAGATATGGGTCCATGGCATTATGGAACTGTCTCTGAAGTTCAGCAGCTATCCTCTTCACAACTCCCATTGAATCCTCTGAATTCTCAAGTCATGCCTTCCCACTTAACTTGTACAGAACAAAATGCTGAGAAGACGTCGTGGAGTACAGCTACAGGTATAAACATGGTATCATGTTGTGCTGAACAAAATGGAAGAACTGATTTCCTTATACAAATAATTTTTCCTGACACTGTAAGAGATGATTACCATCCATGATTGCTCTTTATTATATCAAATTATCCATACAAGGACTGGGAGATTCTCTTTATCTGTGGACTTGCCTAATCTTCAGAAGCAATGTATGTTCTCTTTGACTGTAAAGATATGAGAACAACGTTACCAAGTTCATAGGAAAGTAGGGCTGGAAAGGGTCTCATGAAGTCATCTAGTCCAGTTCCTGCTCAAGGCAGGATTATCCCTGACTAAACCAGCCCAGCCAGATGGCTGTCCAACCTGCTCTTGAAAATTTCCAGGGATGGAGATTCCACAATTTATCTAGATAGCCTGTTCCAATGTTTGACTACACTTACAGCAAGAAAGCCCAACCTAATCTCCATTCTGAATTTCCTCTGCTGCAACATGAGGCTATTGCTCCTAGTCCTGTCCCCTCTGGCCACAGAGAACAGTCAGTCCCCACCCACTCTATATTTGCCCTTCAGGCTGTTGAAGGATGTTATCAAATTCCCTCCCACATTTTTCCTCTCCAAACTAAACTCTAGCTCTTTCAATCATTCCTTATAAATGATGCTTCCCAGGCTTCTATTTTTGTTGTACTGTGCTGAATTATTTCCAATCTGTCCATATCCTTCTTGAAGCGTGGTGCCCAAAACTAGACACAGTGCTCACCAATGCTGAATAGGAAGGAATAATAACTCCCTTTAATTTGTATATTAACACCTGTTAATATAACCCAGTATGGTCTTGGCTTTTTTTTTTTTTTTGCACAACAGAAGCATATACAGTTGGCTCATCTTCAGCAATGGTTGGTCTACTGAAATATACATGTCCTTCTCTGCGGTACCACAGCCTAGCCCAGGGGCAGGCAAAATGGTGAACGTGGCCGGTGGCTGGGCTCCATTCCCCAGCAGCCCGTCTGCATCACTGAAGCAGGTTTCCATGCAGACCCCAGCAGCAGCAGGGCCCTGACAACACAGAGCCAGGGTTTCCATGGAGACCAAGCCCAGCAGTACACAGTTGGGTGGGAAGGGGCTCTGCAGCCAGGGCTGGGATCTTGTAGTGGTGGCAGCACGGTCCAGAGCTGGGGCAGAGCTATGATCCCCTGCCTGCATGCCTTTGCCTGGGATATATGGGCAGCAGATCGCAGCTCTGCCCCAGTTCTGGACCATGCTGTCAGTGCTGCAAGATCCCACTCCTGGAACAGCTCCCCACCCATTTGCGTGCCCTGCCAGTGCTGCTGGGGTGGTCTCCATGGAAACCCTGGCCCTGCACTGTCATGGCCCTGCTGTTGCTGGGGTCTCCATGGAAACCGGCCACTGCAATGTGGGCAAGGGCTGCCCACCCCTGGCCTAGTCAGTAATACCTCAGTCTATATTTTTGCATGCAATTATACTTGTACTTGTTTAATTTCAGCTGACTGATTGTGGAGCATTTCTCCAGCCTATCTAGGTCATTATAGATCATAGCCCTCACCTCAAGAGTGTCTGCAACTACACCTAACTTGCTGTCTTCCTCAAACTTGCTTGGCATACACTCAAATCCTATTGTCCAAATCATTAATGAAGATGTTAAACAGTATCAGACCCAGGACAGACCCCTGAGGAACCCCACTTGATACCTCCTCCCAACTAGATATTGAGCCACTGAGGACTACCTGTTGAATACAGTGATCCACCTAGTTTTGTATGCACCTTATATTTTCCTCTTGTCTGTATTTTCCTTTTTAACTTAATAATGACAATGTTGCAGGAGATGGAATCAAAAGCTTTGCTCAAGTTTAGATAAATCACATCTGCTGCTCTCTCCCTATCCACAGAGTCTGTCACCTTATCATAGAAAGCAATCAGGTTGGTCAGGCATGACTTGCTCTTGGTGAATCCATGCTGACTGCTCCTGATCAACTTGTTCTCCTCTAGGTGTTTCACAATAGATTCCTTAAGGACCTGCTCCATGATTTTTCCAGATGTTGACTATAATTTCCCATATCTACCTTTTCCCCTTTTTTAAAAATGGGCACTATATTTGATCTCTTCCAGCCATCCAGGACCTCACCTGACCTCCACAAGTTTTCAAAGATGATAGCCAATGGCTCTGAAATTACCTCAAATTCCTTCAGTATTCTAGGGTGTATCCCATTCAGCCTTGTTGACTTGAAAACATCTAACTTCTCTAAATAATCCCTAACTTGTTCCTCCTCTAGGCTGTTTGTCTGCTTCCCTATCTTTCCTGCCAAATGCCTTTGTTATCTAGTAGCTGTCCCTATTTGTGGAGACTGAAGTCATAAAGGCATTAAATACTTCAGCCTTGTCTACATCATTCAAAGGCATTAAATGCTTCAGTCTTTTGCATTCTGTAACTGACCTATGGTTTCTTTGGTCTTCTTACTTTCAACATACACTCACTTAGTCTCCAGTGACGCTGGAAGTAGGGAAAAACTCTTGCCAAGTGTTTACAGAAGAAATAACCAAAGGTATTTTTAAATGCTGGTTGGAGATGTGGCTCTAATTTAGTTCTATATGTGAACATCACCCCCTGTAGGTAGAAGAACTGACCCTCCAAAAATCAGGATACTGAAGCAGAAAACACTGTCTGCTACATCACCTTGCACATTCCAAGTACAATTGCATTCCAAGGTTGAAAACCTGGTTATACCCCATGTGATGAATATATATATATAAATCAGGCAGAACACCTGCAGCACACAATTTTAGAAATGAGAGGCAATTGTGTTTCAAAAAAATAGAAAAAGCCTCATTACTCTCTTATGTCTTGCCTCCTGCTGTTGGGGTGGTATTTCTTGCTCCAATTAAGTGAGCACTTAGCAGTAGCATTTCGAGTAAAAAGAACCTAATTACCTTGAAATCTCACTATCTAGCTTTCACTACAGCCCATCAAAAATCTAGACGTTTTAGTACAAGCATTTTGGTTGGACAGAGAACATGTACCTCTGTACATTAGGCATCATGAAGCATGATTTATTATGGTTCATGCATATTTCCTAAAAATAATAAAAGCGTGTGGCATTCAACTTTTGTGATATATTCACGTTCCAATTCCATTTAAGGATATTCTTTAGGGATTAAAGGTGTGGTTGCTCCTAAAAAGTGATGGCAAAATAGCTTTTTTGACACAACAAACCTCTTTCTACATGTACCTAGAGTCAAGCCTTATGACCATAATCACAATAAAATATCACGGCTTTTCATTCCTACCAGTGCGATAACATGTCACACTGTATGTGAGCAGGATTCTGATGCTTCTCATACACCATCAACATTATTAACCAAGTTCCAGTCGGCTACCCACACCTGCATATACCTATTGAAGAGGAGAGGTACAGACAGAAGTCATGGAAGGCACTGTTTGAAAACAGTGAGGTGACACAGATTTTATTAAAACCTAATTTTTCCCACAAACATAATTACAGGTAGCAATGAATAAAAAGGAAAGGAACAGGCTTGACTTCCAGCTGCTGTGAAATTTACAGGGCTATCAGTTAGGAAAAAATACCTATTTACTTGAAGGATGAGAGTGCTTGATAAAGAGATCCTGCACAGATACTTACAGATCCATATGAAACCATTAGGGCAGAATCACTTTTCAAAGCAGAACTGTGCTTTAAAGATGCTTGAATTACGAAGCTGTGTTTTACAGTGTCAGGAAGAGCCATGAAAAGCATAAATGAATTGTCACCTAGGTGTCCTTACAAACAGCCATCTCTAGATGGTGCTAAATATTAAACTTTACGGTAATCTAGAGCTTTACTTCAAGGTGCAGTTTCTACAGAAAAGACACTTAAAAACAAAAAGCTATATAAATGCAATTTGAATACACACCATCTGCTGTAAAGCAATGCTTACATTAAGGTGTAATCATATAATGAGCAATAGAGGACTCAAGATTAATATTAAACGGTTTTGTTTTAAAGCTCATACAGGTATGAATGTTGTCTTACCAACTGGCTCCGTGGACATTAAGAGAGATGCCTCTTAAAAACTTCTATGCTTTGTTTTCCAACAAGTATTTTAAGGTATTTCTACCATCTTAAAACACTATGCTAGCTCCAGCGGTACAAGAAACAGGTCTGAAACCTCATGTTATAAAACATAATCTAATGACTCCGAAAAACTGACTTCACTTATGAATGTCCAGGGAGCAAATATTCTTGACTCATACCTATGATGAGTATTAGACATGACTAACAGAGTTTCAAATATTTAGGCATTTTGAGCAGGGTTTATTTATATTAAGTACTCCAAAAGGTGTAGAGAGACCTAAACTAAAGAGTTAATTAGATGTATATATGGTTTGTAAAGAGACACCTTGCACAGAATGCAGAAGGTGACAACTTTCATCTGCTTACCAGACATACCTGTGACATCCAATGGACGCTTCTTAAGAGCAGTAACCACTGGGCCATCTTTTCTCCGTAACAATGGGCTGCTCCGTCTTTCAGCAACTTTTTGCTTTAGCCTGGATCGTAACTTCAGATTGGGTTCAGAAGCTGAGTAAAAAAGGAAAAAAATATCACTGAAAACAGAGCTCCAGTCCATATAATCTTATTCGTTATTTCCCACTACGTACATTGGTTAAATGAAATGAAGTGTACAGAATAATTAGCAACAGATATCTTCCATACTAGTACAGCTGATAATGGTTAATGTTATTCCAAAAACAATGATACTTTTATTGCTGGACAGTGCTTTGCAGTACAACTTACTAAAAAGTTAATAATAGCTAGGATGATGCAAGATACTTATCTGCAACGTGTTTATGACTACAGTACAGTTGAACCCCAAATTGTGATAAAGGGAAAGCCTAGTAATGGATACTCTATACATTAAAAAAGGAGTCAATTTGTCTGTGTAGGAAAAAAAACAAGGAACAAGGGGCTGGATTCCCTATGCCTAGCTCAGCTTGTTGTATGACTGAATGATGTCAAGTATTTTGAAAAAAATTATCTTTAACATGTTAAGATACTTTAAAGCCATCAGGGCTGCCAAAGGCAAGTCTGTGGAATCAGGGAATTTATAAAACCCAAACCCTATTACATCATTCAGGATACATTTTTCATGTACTTTTAACTAGAGTTTCAAACAGGAAAATGTTCCAAGATGCCTTAAATTTAAATTGAAAGAGCCAGCAGATGTTAACACAGCTTTCATATCTGCCTTAGTGGTAGCTGGGAACAGTGACCTATTGGCATTACATGCTTGACAGGCAGTGTTTTGAACAGATAAAGAAATGTGGAAAAAGCAAAAAAGGTTCCTATAAAAAGATGATTTACTTTAATATATCTGAAATATTTGCTTTAATGTTTTAAAATTCCTGGCAGTTACGGGATTTGTGAACTGAAACTAAATTTTCTCTTCCTCTCCTCTAAACAATCCTGCTATATAATCCTATGCAAATCTTGTGTTCTCATCACTGAATACTGATACATTTGTGCCCAAGGGTCAATAATGTGCAACTTCTGCAGCAGACTTAAAATGGGGTTTGCAAACTGATTTGGATTAACGAAGTCTGGCTACTGATATATATCCCTATGGTTGTCTTTGACCGCTAGATTGCATAGAAGGCCAAACAGGCTGTCTTAATTGCAGGGATGATAAATTTGTGATCAAATGTTTAAAGTTAAGCCATCAAAACTGTTCTTTGATGAAACTTCAGAAAAGGAGCTTTTCATCAATAAGCCATGGACAGAAGAAAAATTGTCTACCTTAATTTAGTTTTTAAAAAGGATAAAGGAAGTACTTAAAAACAGGTGTCAGACTGATCAAGATGATGTTTAAAATGTAATCTGAAATGCATTAGTGAAAAAGCAAATCATGTTATACAGGATTTACATATAAAATTCAAGAAGAATGAATGCAAATCTGTTGTTTACTAGAATCAATAAAATTAGAGGGGGCTTTTAAGTTAGAAATGGACAGTCTGTACTAGTCAGTAGCTTTTGTTTTAGAGAAGCACTTCAAGTTAGTGTAAAACTAGTTTTAAAGGAAAACATGGTCTATTAGACATGAGGACACTCAAAGCCTCATGACACGCTCTTTATTTTTAAGGCTATCTTTAAAATGTACAGTAATACATGCTCTAAACAAAATATTAACAACTAACTAGATGCTTGGGTCCATATTTTAAAGTGGATGTGGCTAGCCTGAAACATGGGTGCCACAAGTGGTATAGACAACCTCTATGTGTAGCATGGCAGATCAGGGAGTGAGCAGGAAGCAATGGCTGACAGGGCAGGGAACAGAAAATGAAGTAGCAGGCTAGGCAGGCAGTACAAGGCTGGGAACAAAAGTCCCAGTAGATCAGGCATGGGAAAAGGACTGGAGTGGCACTCGGGGAGGATGTAGGGCTACTTCGTGACACGCCTCCCAAAAATGTTGGCCCTGCAGTGTTAAAGAATGAATTTGCACAATGTTTCATACAGATGTGGTTGCACAGTTTGTTCACATCATGGAGTATCTATATGTAGGCATACCATAAGGACCCATTCAACAACACCTTTGACAAGGAAAAGCATGGTAATGTATATTACCATATATTCGGTGAACAGTTTATTTCTCTGAAAGGTATTTCTTGTATGGTGTTTGTTCAAATTGTTTTGTATCAAAAGCAAAGTACCATATTTACTTGAATCTAAGATGACTCTGAATTTAAGACAGCCCCCCCGCCGATAATAAGATTTTATGCATCGAAAAATTGTAAATTATAAACAGCCTCACTGTTTTAAATGCCTGCAACACAGTCCAAACTGCCCTCTAAAGTATAAAATCTCATTATTGGAGGGTAGTCTTTAATTCATCCCCACCACCACCACAAGGAGGAAAGAAGTAGCAGAAGGGGGGGGGGGGG